AAAAATCAAAAAATCAGCAAAAAGCCATTTTATTTATTTATTTTTGTTTGTTTGTTTGTTTTTCCAGTACTGGGAATCGAACTCACGACCTTGTGCTTACTAGGCAGGTGCTGTGCTGCTGAGCTAAATCCCCAGCCCTAAAAAGCCATTTTAAAGTCAGGTATAGGGCCGGGGATTTAGCTCAGCAGCACAGCAAGTGCCTGGCAAGTGCAACGTCGTGAATTCGATTCCTCGTACCGGAAAAAAACCAAAAAAACTAAAGTCAGGTATGGTGATGCACACCTGTAATCCCAGAAGTCTGGGAGGCTGAGAGGCAGGAGGATTGGACAACATAGGAAAACGCTGCCTGTAAATAAATAAATAAATAAATAGTAAAAAGGGCTGCGAATGCAGCCTAGTGCAAAGACTGGGTTCAACCCCTAGTACCTTAAAAAATCCATTTTAAGACAACTGGAGAAAACTGAATATAAATTGGGTATTAGTTATAAAAAGTTTAATTGTGCTAGGTGGGATTATTATACTAGTTTGTGTTTCTAAAATAGTTTTTTGTTGGGCCAGGGATATAGCTCAGCAGCACAGCACCTGCCTGGCAAGTGCAAGGTCCTGAGTTCAATTCCTGGTACCAAAAAATAAAATAAAATAAAATAGTCTTTTGTTAGGAACATTCTGAAGTAGTTATGAGTAAAAGACTTGTTACCTGGGATTTACTTGAAAATATTGTGAACCAGGCATGTGGCACATGCCTGTAGTCCCAGCACTTCAGAGACTGAGGTAGGAGGACTAAGTTTGAGCCCAGACTGGACTAAGTAGCCACTTACCAAGACTTTGTCTCAGAATAAAAAATAATAAAGGGCTGGGGATATAGTTTAGTGAGAAGGCCCTGGGTTCAACTCCCAGTATGGAAAAAAAGAAAGGAAATAGAAAAAAAGCAAAAGGGCAAAACATTTGAGCAGATATTTCACTGAAGAAGATACATAAATGGCCAAGAGAATACAAAGAGATGCTCAGTGTCACTAAGCATTAGGGAACTGCAAAAACAAAACCATGGTGAAGTAATTCCAACCACTAGCATGGCTACTATGGAGGAAAATAAAAAAACAAAACAAAATAACAGGTATTTGTAAGGATGTGGAGAAACCGGAACCCTGTGCACTATTAGAACATAAAATGGTACGGCCATTATGGAAAACAATACTGCAGTTCCTAATAAAATGAAAAATAGGATTACTGTATAATCCAGCAGTTCCACTTCTGTGAATACACCTGGAAAAAGTGAAAGCAGGGTCTTGCGTGCCCATGTTCATAGCAGCTTAATTCACCATAGCCTAAGGTGGAAATGTCAATTGATATCTATGCATGGCTTACATATACAATGGAATATTTAAATATTTAGTCTTTCAAAGGAAAGAAATTATTCTGGGAATGGTGATGCACACCCCTAATCACAGCACTCTGAGAAGCTGAGGCAGGAAGATCATAAGTTTAAGCTCACTTGGGCAACATAGTGACTTAACCAAACCCTGCCTGAAAATGAAAAATAAAAAGACCTGGGGACACAGGTTAGTGTGAAGGTCCTGGGCTTAAGCTCCAGTACAAAAAGAAAAAAAAAAGAGACTATGCCAGCTTGTCTATCCATTGGTGATATTGCAAAGAAACTGGGAGAGGTGTGGAGTGACTCCATCTGAGAGGCCAGGCAGCCTCACAAAAAGAAGGCTGCTAAACTGAAGGAAAAGCTTGAAAAGGATATTGCTGCTGCATCCTGAGCTCAAGGAAAGCCTGATGTGGGGGGTTATCAAGGCTGACAAAATAAAGAAAAAGAAGGAAGACACAATGCAAAGGAGAAAGGAAAAGATGGAGATGTTAATGATGAGAGAGTTCATTCTAGCAGTTTTTTCTTGTCTATATAGTATTTAAGCCACCCTCCCCCACTGTACACAACTCACTTTTTTTTTTTAATTTTAGAGATAGGATTTCACTATGCAGTTCAGACTGGCCTTGAATTCACTTTGTAGCCAAGGCTGGTCTCGAACTTGCAGTGATCCTCCTGCCTCAGCCTCCTCAGTGCTGGGATTATAGGTGTACACCACCACACCTGGCTATAACTCACTCCTTTAAAAGAAAAACATTGAAATGTAAGGCTGTGCAGGGTTTCTTTTAAACTGTAGGTTTTGTTTTTTTTTTAATAATTAACACACTACTGGGGCTGGGGATTTAGCTCAGCGGCAAAGCGCCTGCCTGGCAAGAGCAAGGTCGTGAGTTCGGTTCCCGGTACCAGAGAAAAACAACAAAAACAAAAAACAAACAAACAAAAAAAATTAACACACTACCAAATGTGCCTTTAGAAAGCCCTGTCCTGAAGGTATTCTCAGTGGTCACTAACATTGCCTAGTATAGTACAGGGGTTGTAGACCAACATGGAAATTTAACGTAGTTCTTGGTGCACAGTAAATATTAGTTATATGTGGAGATGGTAGTTTTTTCACCTTCACTTGTCTCTGATGCAGTGTATACAGTATTACTGTTAACTGAGTATCACTCTGTAATTGCCAAAAAGAAAAAGTTGCAGCTGTTCGGTTGGCATTCTGAATGCTCCTAAGTAAACACATTTTGTAATTTAGAAATAATTTAAAAAATGAACTAGCTGGAAGACTGGGAGTTTATGTAGGTCAGTTGTAGTGCAGTTGCTTAGCAATGCCAGTCCCTAAGTTCCATCCCCAGCACCACACACACACATGCACACACAGACACACACACTCACACACACACACACAGCTGGGTATGTTATGAGACTATGTTAGCACAGGCCTGAAATCCAAGCACTCTGAGAGGCTGAGGCAGCAGGATCACAATTTTAAACCCAGCCTGGGCGCCTTAGGAAGACCTTGTCTCAAAATAAAAAGAAAAAGGGCCAGTAATATAGCTCAGTGAGAAGACTCTGGATGCCTTCGTGGCACCTGCCTTTAGTGCCAGTACTCTGGAACACTGAGGCAGGAGGACCACAAGTTCAAGCTTAGCCTGGGCAACTCAGCAAGCCAGCAAGATGCTGCCTCAAAATAAAAAAAAAAAAAAAAATGTCTGGGGATGTACCTCAGTGGTAGAGTGCTTCCCTTGCAGGCAAAAGTCGTGAGTTCAGTTCCCGGTACCGGAGAAAAGCCAAAAAAAAAACAAAAAACAAAACAAAAAAAAAAAAAAAAAAAAAAAAAAAATGGGGGCGCTGGAGATTTTAGCTCAGTGGGACAGCGCCTGCCTGGCAAGTGTGAGGTCCTGAGTTTGATTCCCAGTACCCCCCCCCGAAAAGGGCTAGGATATAGTTTAATGCAAAGGCCCCAAGGTCAATCCCCAGTACTGCAAAATAATAAATAAAAATAAACTGTCTAAAAAAAGGTGCTGGAGGTGTAGCTCAGTGTGAAAACCCTGGGTGCAGTCCGCAGTGAAAGAGAGAGAGCGCCTGAGAAAGAACCACAGAGGCAGTGGCATGGAAGGAGATGGGAGGATAAGATTTCTCAGACAAAAGGCAGACACA